CCTAAAATAGGTTTATTTAATAACTTAAAATAAAAGAAGCTTAAAGTAATTAATATTATATATTAATATTTGGTTAATTTGCTTTATAGTTAAATAAAATTACACATATAATACTAGTATTATATAAGCGTAAAATCTAAAATAATATTAGGCTATATTAGGCTAAAAATAGTAAAAAACTAAAAAAGTAAATTATTTTAGCATAATTAGTACCGCGCTATAACTTACTAGTTATAGCCACCTTATAATAGCCTTAGCTATTATTATATAATTAAACTTTATATATTATTATTTACGGCTATAATTTACGCTAAATTACGCTAAAACCCTAAAATACTTATATATATAATATATTTATAAGGTTTCTCTTATATTTTAAGTTAATTTTATATTTAAGTTATTTACCTTTTTTACTATTAAAACCTAATATAACTAATTATAAGTTATTGCTCTTATATATATATATCTCTTATAAGTACTTACTAATATTTATTATAGCTATTTATAAACTATTATATATAAAGTATATACCTATTAATATAAGTTTATAATAAGAAGCCTAATATAAGTAAGTTATTTATTATATCCTTTAAGGGTTAAAGTTAATAAAGCCTAATAAGTAATATAGCTATTAATAAATTAAAAGCTTTTTATAATAAAAAAAATACTTACTTTAAAGCTAAAAATCCTAATTTTATAAAAATTAAAAAGGTTATAAAAATAATTAAGAATTTAAAAAAAAAGGCTTTTAAAAATATTAAATTAAAATATAATACTAAGAAAACTATAAAACAGCTATAAAACTAGCTATAAAAAGGGCTAATAAGGCTAGTAAAGCTAAGGCTAAAAAGGCTAAAAGGCTAAAAAGGCCTATAAGGCTAAAGCTGCCAAATAAATCTGTATTAGCGGTTTTACCTCTTCCGGAGGGTTAATATTATATATATTATTAAAGCTAATAACTTTAAGGAAGCGCTTTTATATTTATAAATAATATAAAAAGGTTTAAATAAGGCTGAGTAGTTTATTTAGGTTTATTTAGGTTATTATTAGCTTACTTAGTAATATATAAGATTTTTTTCTTATTAAAAAGTCTGATTAATATTATAATAAATATATAGCCCTTAAATTTCTCCTAGTTAATAAGCAAATAAGTATTATAAATATCTTTTTATAAAAGTATAATATTAAGAAATTACTTCTTAATAATAGTAGCTATATTACTAGCTTAAATACCTGCTTAATAGCTTATTAACTTAATAGTTGCTTTAACTAGTATAGTAAGTTATTAGTAGAAAAGGTATATAAATAGTATAATACTTTATATATAGTTGTATTAATAATATTTTATATTTTTATATTATTAAAAAAGCTATTTACTTTTCTTTAAAGCCTTAGTAATTATTATCTATTCGCATCCACACTTATAAGTCCTTTGGTTTTAAAGACCAAAGCCCCTTATAGCTTAAAATTACCTAAACTAATTATATTAAACTAAGTACCTAATTAGCTATCCTTTATAAAAGTACTTATTCTATCAAATAATGCCAAACCTGTTCTCCTTTATAAATATATTTATTATCTTAAAAAGGGTTTTAGCCAAGAATACTATATTACCTAGAATTAATAGGTTAAGAATTAGCTTTAAAGTAAGGGATAAATACTATTATATAGGTAAGAAATTAATATTCTTAAAAGTTAATAATATTTAAGAAAATTATATAGGTAATATATAAGGTAAAAAATATAATAAAGGAGAGTTATATAATTTAAAACTTAAAGGTAATTACCCTTATTTTTCTTGCTAAGCTTATACCTGCTTATATAATTAAATAAAATCTATAGTTAACCTTTGGCCTTTACTAATAATCTCTTATATTATACTTATTATAAATTTAAACTCAGGTTTTATTCTTATTAAAAGTTATTATATAAATAAGAGCGATTTAGGAGGTTTAGGGGCAAATAAATCCCCTTCTAGGCT